GTATCAGATGACTGGCTAAAGGCAATAGTTGTACTAATCTTGAAGAAAGGAGACAGTGCTGATCCAAATAATTATAGAGTTATAAGCTCATTGCCAGTATGATGAAAGTAATTGTCAACAGATTAAGGCCAGTTTTAGAGGAAGTGTGCAACTTCTGACCAGGCCAAAGTTGCATTTATCGGATATTCACATTCTGACAGCTGATGGGGAAAAAAAGCAAGAATGGGGATTAAAGATGTTTACTGTTTTCATTGACTTTACAAGGCATTTGATTCAGTTTGGAGGGAAGCATTATGGAAAGAAGCAAAATCATATGGCTTTCCAGATAAGATAATTGCAATTACAAAAGTTATGTACGAAGATTCCTGCAACTGCCATAAAAAATGGTGGAAAATAAAGCAACTGTTTCAAGTCAAAGTTTTGTGAAAGACAAGGGGAAATGGAATCGCCATCACTTTTCATCATGTTCTGAAACTGGACCTTAAGAATGTTAGACAAGTTGAAAGGTGTGACATTGGATGATCTAGAATTAGGCTCCTTGGTTTATGCAGATAACATTGTACAGCTAGGACGCACATTTGAATTAATGATGATAGTATTTACGAGCTTGGGAAATTGGTGTTTTCTATTTGGATTTCAATAAATGCCAAGAAGATGAAGTGGTTGCAGCTTGGAAAAGAGACAATAGGTAAAGTATTGAAATGCAGCAGCAGTGAAGTTGGGGGGGAGGGATAGCTCAGTGGTTTGAGCATTGGCCTGCTAAACTCAGGGTTATGAGCTCAATCCTTGAGGGGGCCATTTAGGGATCTGGGGCAAAAATCTGTCTGGGGATTGGTCCTACTTTGAGCAGTAGGTTGGACTAAATGACCTTCTGAGGGTCCCTTCCAACCCTGATATTCTAAGTTGTAAAACAAGCTGACTCTTACATGTACCTAGGAAGTTTGATCAGTGCCAACAGTTCCTTCAAGAAAAAGGTTAAAAGAAGATACACCTTAGCCACCAGTGCTGCACAGAAACCGATGAAATTATAGACTAATAAAAACATTACATTTGGCACCAAAATAAAAATTTATCAAAACAGTGTACTAACAGTATTACTATATGGTCTGGAAGCAGTTGCATTACATGAAATAGACATCAGAATGCTGGAGTCAGTAGAGATGAGAATTCTTCAAAAACTGGCAGGCATAAGGTGGAATGATTTTAAGACAAATGAAGAAGTTAGAAGGAGAGTGGGATGTGAAATCAGGATATAGGATTGGCTACAACAAAAAAGATGAAGATGGTGAATACACTGCAGACAAACAGATGATAGGATGCCAAAGAAAATAATGCAAACACAGTTAAGCGACTGACCACTGATTAGATGGTGGGACACCGTATGCAGGGACATGACCAGGCTGGGTTTAAGGGAAGAACAAGCTATGGACAGGAATGAAAAGTGATGCTGTTCTGCTCCAGGTTTCTGCAAAGATGTTTTGGGATGAAGAGAGAGAGATTTCTTCATTGCCCCTTCTCTAGAGCATTGGCCTGTACAAACAATCTTCAACCACAACTGGAATCGGCTCGTCAGCTACACATCTGCACACTCACTTCTACCATCCTCTGTTTCCCAGATATTTATTTTTGTGCCCTCTATTACATTTGTAGCAGCACAGTTTTGTTTAATCTTCCATAAAGTACTGGTATAACAATGAATTATTTTTACCATGAAACCTTTTTTAAAACCATCATAGTTTACATTTTCAACTTGTCTCAGAATGCAAATATTTCAGCCTTCCCTGTAAACATGAAAAACTGCTCATAAATCATTTGAACAATATTTTCTTTTATGGCAAGTTTCTTACATTCAACCAAATGTTTCTGCCATTTGGTTTCCAAGCATCTAATGTTGTACATGGAATGAGAGTCTGCTACAGGATATGGATAGGAGTGGCTGCAGAAACTGACTTTAAGGGCTAGTCATGCAAAGGTTCTGCATTTATATGATTTCTTGGTGTAAAATTTCACATGGCTGCTAGCTGTTTCTCTCTAGAGAGTTCATAATATCTCTGTATAGTGTACACACAGGCTAAAATGCAGATCTACACGATTATGTCTCTGTAATTTCTCAGTATAAAATTTCTTATACTTAACCATCGCGAGTTGAATGTTCTTGGTCCCTTGTAGGATAGGATGTTTCATATGCATGGACTATAAAGAGAAATAAAAAGCAATCTGGATTTGCAATAGTTTTCAACCTATGGCTTGTAAAATTTTATACTGAGAAATTACAGACACAAGCCCTGTGAGTGGGCCCAAACTAATAGAAACTGATTGCAAAAACTGAGAATGTGACAATAGAAACACATTGAAATGAGGCATGCTCTTAATCAGAAGAGAGCAAAACATGGGAGAGATATTCCAGTGTGTATATTACAAAACTTTCAGGGCTACTGATGCAGATGGATAATGAGAGAGAATAAAGGGGGATGAACTGTCAGGAATCGTTTGATCTCTTGTCAAAAGTATTTGTGGCAGAGCAGACATAAGACCACTGTTCCCGTTCATTGCCTGCCTGATCACATCCGTCACTTCTTTTCAATCGCTGCATTCAAGTCCCCAAAAAAATGTTATTTTTATCTGAAGTTGTACATGAAACACAGATTTCTTTTTAGCTTTCTCTCATTGCTGTAGGCACACATCAAAGTATTCATTTTAAATGGAAGATAAAGGCAGCATTTGTTTAACATCAGAAGATGGGCCCAGACAAAATCTCCATGTCTAACCCCCGCTCAGATATTGGGGTTGTCCAAACTTACTTAAGCCCAACTCTATTTACAGTAAGACATTAAAAAAAAACCTATGCAATTTAAACCAGCTCACAATATAATACCATGATTTATAATTAATATCCCTAAAAATAGAAAGAAAATGCTGACTATAAAAACCAAAATGTCAGCAATAATCCAGATGCACTTTCAGAATATTTGAATACAGCATTTAAAAGGTTTTAAGAGCCTTAAAGTACTCAAGAATATTTTATGTGGAAAGTCCTCTAACTTCTTAGTAATGTTGCCTGAGGCTACCTAAACAAATAGAACAAGCTTTTCTCTTCCCGTAGCTTCTCTTCCCATGGTGAGTTTATTGCAGCTCTGTAATGCAATGATGCAACATGAACTCTTTGATATATTTTAAAAGACAGACATGAAACTGGAGGAAAAAAATAATGGATATGAGATATGTGGCTTTGGAACTTAGCAAATAATAGAAGAAACCTTAATATAAGAGAAAAATCTTACAGTATTTTGCTGCCAGACTTTAGTAGCATGTTAGCATTTTAAAATTTTCTATTTCCTTACTGCATTCTTTCCAAATATACAATAGTTTAATTGGATTCAATTCCTGGCTCTGTTAAACAATCTGACTGAGCACATATTAGGACTGTTCGTGAGAGGCGTTGAGTGACCTCAGCTTCAGTTTACTCAAATCAGAGTTAAGAACACTCAGCACCCCACAGAATTGGACTCTTAATCGCTCTGTACCTCAGTTTCCCTATCTGTAAAATGAGATTAATAATACTTCTCTCCCTCACAGCAGCGTTGGAAGGCTAGAGTCACTAATATTTGTAAAACATTATGAGATCTTCAAATGGAAAATGCTGTATTCATTAGGCCTGATTTGGCCTGTTGTACTTTACCAATAAATATTTAGTATGGCCAGACTAGGAATATCAGGATAAAATACTGAATAGAGAACATTTAGGTGAGATATTAAGCTAAATAATTTTCCAAAGTGAAATCTATTAGATTGTAGAATCAGGTGGGAAGTCATAGAAGTTCCACCCTTAAAACCAGTCTGGAACACCACTGGAAGACAGAATGTAGAAAACAATCCTGCATTGAAAGGAGAGTGGACTAATCTGTGTAATGGGTAATGTCCATCAGATTCTTATGACCACCACCCTGCCATCAAGAAATGTTAACAGATTGTTCCTGGTTATACAACAACTAACCATAATTAAAGTTTTGGCTCCTTTGGGCCCTCTGCTGGCTCTTCACCAGCAGTTACCCAGTAACTGCTGTGTGATGGGTTTTAGAGTAGCAGCCGTGTTAGTCTGTATCCGCAAAAAGAACAGGAGTACTTGTGGCACCTTAGAGACCAGCAAATTTATTTGAGCATAAGCTTTCATGGGCTACAGCCCACTTCATCAGATGCATAGAATGGAACATATAGTAAGAAGATATATATACATACAGAGAACATGAAAAGGTGGAAGTTGCCAATACCAACTCTAAGAGGCTAATTAATTAAGATGAGCTATTTATCACTATAAAAGTTTTATTTTCTCCTGCTGATAATAGCTCATATTAATTAATTAGCCTCTTAGAGTTGGTATTGGCAACTTCCACCTTTTCATGTTTTCTGTATGTATATATATATCTTCTTACTATATGTTCCATTCTATGCATCTGATGAAGTGGGCTGTAGCCCATAAAAGCTTATGCTCAAATAAATTTGTTAGTCTCTAAGGTGCCACACTTGGCATGTAGGCAAAACTCAATGTGAAAGAAGCCCTTATTACGGATGTACTTTAATAATGCTGCGGATTAAAACAAGCTATTAGGCACTGTGGCCTGTATCTTCAAAAATGGTCCTTACTTGTCTCTGTTCCACTGTTGATTTGCTAGGGTAGCTAGATCATTGGCCATAAATAACTGGGGTGACCAGCATGCCTAGCACAGTGTGGTACTGAGCCCCCCAACTCAGGCCCAAGTCAATGGGAGCTGCAGGTGTGCTACATGATCCCTGGGAATCAGTGTCCCCTCTGGGGGGGCACCAGAATTTGAAGACAGCCAGAATTAGAGGCTACTAAGTAGGTTGTTCCCCATTAATCTACTTGACCTGTCGCCCCCCCCCCCCCCAATCTGGGAGGTGCAGGTTGCCCCCTGGAAACACATCCACCAGCTGGCAGAGCCGCAGCACTACAATTCCCAGCAATCATTGCGCACCCTCCCTTTCCCCCCTTCTGCTTTCATCTCCTGCCTCCCGCTAAGCTCTGGGTGTCTGAGCTGCGCTGCCGCTGCCCAGGCGAAGCGGGAGTCCCCAGGCGAACGCTGTGCTGTAGCTGCTAGAGCGTCTGGGCTTCAGCGGGGTGAGCAAGGCGGGCTAGGTCCTGCAAGCAACCCTCCCAGCTCGCAGCAGCGGCTTACAGCTGCAGGAGTGGGAGCTCCCTTAACCCTTTCACGTCTCCCCTTGGCTGGAGAGAAGCGGCGAATGAAGTGAGGATGATTATCCGGGTGTTCATCGCATCCTCCTCCTGCTCGGTGGCGGTGAGTGATGGGGGCGTGGGAGGCGCACCTGGAGGTGCAGAGGGGCAGGCGATAGCTGAGGCCAGCTGGCTGCTTGGGATCCCGAGCCACCCACGCTGCTATCGCTAAAGCTGGCTGGGGGTTGGCTTTTCCCGGCTGCAAACATTCAGCGCAGGAGAGAAACACACAACTCTGCCGCTCATCAAGTGTTTGGAAATTCCAAGGAACCACTTGGATTTGGGTGCTGCTAGTTGCTTAAGGGACCTACATTTCAGACAGTAGCTCGTGGTGAACAGGGGTGCCTTTGTTGATGAGATTTGGTGGGGTGGAGTAAGAAAAGAGGTCTCAAATTTGAGCTATAAATTCCTTGTTTATTTGCGAAACTACAGTATCTGAGGAACTGCCTCATACAAGAATTATTGTTCTTTTTAACCTCTGAGGATAGGACAAGAAGCAATGGGCTTAAATTGCAGCAAGGGTGGTTTAGGTTGGTCATTAGGGAAAAACTTCCTGTCAGGGTGTTTAAGCACTGAAATAAATTGGAGCCGAAGACCTCTCGAGGTCTCTTCCAGTTCTACCATTCTATGATTCCCATAATTTAGTTTAAAAGCAAGCAGAACAGGATACCTGCTTGGTGGTGGTTTTTATTTATTTATTTAAACAAAGTGCATTTCCTAGTTTTATTATAAGAGTATTGCTGTGATCGATTGTTCTTATCATGGAACAGCCCTGCCTGTTGTTATTCCACCATTTCCGTGCTAAACTTGATTTAGACTAGAATGCGTTAGCATTAACTGTAGCATTGCTTCCAACATTATTATACTTGCAGGGCCGGCTCCAGGGTTTTGGCCGCCCCAAGCAGCCCAAAAAAAAAAAAAAGCTGCGATCGCGATTTGCGGCGGCAATTTGGCGGAAGGTCCTTCGCTCCCAGCGGGAGTGAGGGACTGTCCACCAAATTGCCACTGAATAGCTGGAGGTGCCGCCCCTTCCCGAGCGGCTGCCCCAAGCACCTGCTTGCCAAGCTGGTGCCTGGAGCCGGCCCTGTATACTTGGTTGTAGTCAGTCTTCATCTAGCACTGGCATACAAAAACTTTACTGTGAGAGAAAATTTATTTATGCTGTCCCACTTGTTTTTTGTTTTTTTAAAATCAGCCTGCCTGCTTTAAAATAAAAGGTATCTAAAATGTGCAGGGGGGTCTGGGGCCATGTGTGTATGCTTGGAAAAATTAAAATGACTAAAGAAAGTATAACAAAATTGGTGAGCTGACACTTAAAAAACATTATCTTAACTCTTCCTTAAGTTACTGATGAGATTTCTTGAGTAAAGTAGCCTAGTTTTACCACGGTTAGTCACGTCCCATGGATAGAGAAGGGGAGTCTTGCAACAGCATTGCTTTAGTCTGAAATATGTGTTTTTCCTCAGGGCACTGTAACAAACAAAATAAATTCTACTGATAATTACAAATTACTGGAGTCTTTTAGAAAACCCCACAGACCAGCCTCAGGACAAAGGCATATCTGCAAGTTAACAAGTATTTTAAAGTGGGCACAACTCTTTCCTTGAATTAAATTTTGAAGGGCATCAATCATTATGTCCTTTGATTGATAGTAGCTGAAGTCCTTAGTTTTTCTCTTGGCTAATTAATTATGCATGTGACCTATAAATATCTATATTCCTATTTAAAGTGACAGCTTATATTTCCATGAAGACAATCTGAATGTAAATGCTCATCTGAATGTGTTCTTTAATGAGAAACATCAGAGGGCTTCAGATATAATTGGTATACTTTATGCTTGAGCAGTGCTATTACTGGCATTCTTATTTTTTGTTTGTTTGTAGAGAGACAGTGGACTTTGTTCCTGACTGAAGGTTTGTGTATTCTCTTCCTTTGGTCTTTTTATTGTGCACTGTTTGTGTTCAGGTCAGTGGCATGGTGACAGGTTTGTTGTCTGATACAGTTTGGCATGAAGTGCTTGGAATGCTTAGTAGTTGCATACTTAACAGCTAATACAAACTAATTATCCATTTCAGTAGCATATTTAGCAAATACAGAATCTCTTGAGAACTTTAACAGAACATGTTCACTGAGCATTCATCATAGAAACACTCCCTCCCATTAACTGTCAGTCAGTTCATATTGTAGTTTCTCATATTTATTTCAAACAATAATGACCTATTTCAGCTTTTGGGTGGGGCTAGAGGAGGAGAAGCTTGATCCAGTAATCATCAGCTAGAATAGTTAGGAATAAGAATGGCTAAAGGTCCATCTAGTCCAGTATCCTGTCTTCTGGCATTGGCCACTGTTAAGTGCTTCAGAGGCAGTGAACAGAACAGATAATCATCAAGTGATCCATCCCCTGTCACCTGTTCCCAGTTTCAGGCAAACAGGGTAGGGATGGATGGGCTAATCTAGCTAGTTTTTACCTGACTGACAAACAAGTTAATTTTTACACCAAGATAAGCAGCAGTTAGAGATTCCCCACCATTACCGTGCCATCCCAGTTCTGTGGTTGAAGTGTAGTTTAATTTTCATGTCAATTCATCCACTGGCTTTTCTGCTTTGGTTGCCAGCAGTAGGGCCAATTGTGATGGTGACTTAGATCAGTGGTCTTGGCAGGAGGTAGGTTTTTTTTTTTTTTTTTTTTGGCTTTTGCGTTC